TGGAGGCAATTAGGCCAAAACTGGAGTAATACATTTAGTTCTAGCCATCACACTTTGGGAGGGTTGTGATGGTCTTTGTGAGGGTACAGAGGAGATTGAACAGTATGGTTCCATGGAATCAGGATTTTACCTGCAGAATTAGGTTGGAGAAGCTTGGCTTGTTCTTTTTGGAGTAAGGGAGATTGAGGGGAGAGGTTACAAGGTATACAAGATGGCTACAGGCTTACATAAAGCAGACAAACAAAAGTCACGTCTAATTGCTGACAGGATAAAGTTGAATGGACACAGATTCAAGGTTTTGGGACAGACATTCAGTGGGGTGTGAGGATGAAGGATTTTACATACCTTGTACCCCTTTATATGCAGGGAACTTGTCCATCAAAAATGTCACATGTCCTTAACATTTACTTAATTGACTCAAAAATAATACCTATTAGCAGACCTTTCTAAATTTGTTCAAAAGCAGACAGGGTTGAAAATCTACTAATCAAGCCAATAACAATGCAAAATAAACCAGTCAAATGTCTCAGCCACCAATCAGGAATCAACAATTGCCTCAGAACAAAATCAAAGTGTTCAAATAATTATTTCTTGATTTCTTTGGGTTGTTCAGTTGTTTCCTGAAATAAGCAAACATATGCAATAAAAGTACAAGTTAACTAATAATGAACCTGGAAGAACATAAATAATTTGAATGTTAATCTTGACATCCATTAAATTACCCAAAACTGATTAAAAATTCATCTGATAAGTTTTAGCTCAAAACTTTTAGCTTTGTTCTTCTTGTGCAGATATTATTTTTCAGAAAGGGCAGTCTTCTCAATATCCTTTGGACAGTTTTAGCTTACCAAACTAATTGACTTGCCCAGTCCCCTTTTCCCTCCATAAAACAAGATCATACTATTTTTCATCAATTCTTGCTATACTCAGATGATCTGGTCTCATACATTGCAGCTTTTCCATTGATTTCAGCCCATCATCATCATATCTATGATTCTGCCAATGAAGCCACACACAGGAGGGATGCTCTATTGTCCTGCTCTTTCTCACAATTAGATGCCTTAGGCTTCAATTCTGACCGCAAGCCATAGCTTTCATTGCTTGTCGTCCTATATTCAACTACCTCCAAGCTCACTCTCAGTACTTGTAGTTCGGTCTTGCTGCTCATGATTGCTAAATAATGGATCTAGTCTTTACACAACATTTACCGTACATGCTGTAGAGAATCAGGTCATTGAGCCCTTTCAACAATGCCATTATTTATGCTCCACATGAACCTCTTTTTAATTTTACACTGGTCAATTCCTCTATGTCTGGAACCCTCTCATAGTCTCCATTCAAAATCAGAGACTTCAAATGTTTCTGATGGAATTAAGCGAGATAGTTGCTCAGGAAAATTTAATGCTATTAAATACATATTAACTGTTAAAATCATGCACATGTTTCTCACACACCCTCAACTATACCTCGCCTAGACAGTTTATACTCCCCTAGACCCTGACACTACAAACACCATTCCAACCTAGTGCCCAATCCCACCAGCCCCACACAACAGGACTGGACCAGACTTGATCTGATCTGACCTCTCACCAGCTAAGCCCAACCCAACATGCCCATTTGCCAGAACCAACATCACCACATGCCACCAGTCCCATTCCATTCTGTCTTGACCAAAATCCCCCATTCCACAGAGCCAACCCAATCCACTGCACACTCCTAGTCTACTGGATATGAGCTGAACCCCTCCACCAGACATGAAACCCCAGACTCGACACCCACCCGCCATGATTTCTCCCACCTTCCCTGACCTTCCTTAAACACTTACCTTGCCACCTTGCACCTGCCATCCTACCAAATTGTCACTGCATTCCCTTCCAACAGCATCTTTCCACCTGACACACTACTCCCTACCCAGCTGACACTCTGCTTACCTGGCACCCTATTCATCTGGCTTCCTACTTCTGGCACCCTACTCAGCTTGTATACTAATCACCAAGCACACTATCTCCTATCCACTTGGCATCTTATTTCCTAACACCTGACACCATTCCCAGAAGACAGCTTGAATCTGGAATGGGGAAAAGGGTAGGCAAGGGAAAGGGGCAGCAAGCCTAGAGTGGGGGAAAAGGGGTCAGGTCTCAGGTAGGAAAGGGGCAGATGTTGGGTCCAGAGCAGGTTGGGTTCCAGGGGTGTCAGTTCATGGTGTGGAGGGGTGTATGCAGCCAATAGAATAGTTACGTGGGAGTTGGACTACTTATTTAACTGTCTAAGGTTTTCTGAGTAACTATTTACTTAATTCCATTGGAACCCTCTGAATTCTCCAATTTAAATGCAGACTCTGCTACCAACTGTCTCATTAGAATCCTGAACCTATTACTCTCAATTCCAGGTGCAGTTAGTTCAAAGATGTATTTGGCACTGAGGGAGCAACAACCATCTTTCAGTCCCTTCTGCTGTTTCTCCATTCTGTATTGCCTTATCTCCCCAACGATTTCATCCCTTCTCTAGTTCTGACCATGTGTTCTCTCTCATTTCTCTTGCATTTAATTTCACACCTTCTTTGAGCCCATTTTCTCTATGAAACCTTTTATAGTTATTTGCACAATTTCCATTAAAATACTGACCTCCCAAAATTCCTTCCCTGGCCTTATTAAAGCTAAAACTGTGAATGGCTTCCAATCCACAGGAATTTCCTTCCAGCACTTCAATCGTGAATCTCTCTCTGATTGTTGAAGGCTAGTCATCTCAGATCCAAGACATTTCAATCATTTTCAGCTGCTTCATCAATAGCCTTCCCTCCATCATAAAGTCAGACTTGGGGAAGTTCACTGATGTTTGAACAATGCTGAGCACCATTTGTGATTCCTCAGATACTGAAGCTGTTCATGTCCAAATGCAACATGGAAGGGAAAGTTAAACCACACAGGTGCCAAGCAATGGCTATGTCCAAGAAAAGAAAAACTAACCATCATCCCTTGATATTTAATGGCATTATCACCACACTGAATCCCCCACTATCAACATCCTGGGGGTTACCATTGACCAGAAACTGAAGTGGACTAGCAATGTACTGTTGCCACAACAATAGGCCAAAGGCTAGAAATCCTGCAGTGACTAACTGAACTCCTGAAAAGGAAGCCCCCAGTACCTGTCCACTATCGACAAGGCACAAGTCAGAAATGTGATAGAATATACCCCACTTGCCTGGGTGAGTGTAACTCCAACAACACTCAAGAAGCTTGTCTCCATTCAGGACAAAGCAGCCTACTTGATTAGTGCTGCATGCACAAACTTCCATTCCCTTCACCGCCGAAGATTAGTAGCAGCAGTGTGTACCATCTACAAGATACACTGCAAAAATTCACCGAAAGCTTCTGAGACAGCACCTTCCAAACCCATAACCACTACTAAAGGCAGCAGATACACAGGAATACCACCACCTGCAAGATCCCTTCCAAGCCACTTATTATCCAGACTTGGAAATACAATACTGTTCTTTAAGTCTTGTTGGCCAAAATCCTGGAAATCCCTCACTAATGGCATTGTGGGTCAACATATAGTAAATGGACTGCAGCCATTTAAGAAAGCAGCTCATCGCCACATTCTCAAAAGCAACTAAGGATGGGCAATAAATGCTGGCCAAACCAGTGTCACCCATATTCCCATGAATAGATAATAAAAAAAGTGTTCCGATATTCTCTATGAAACACTTTGAGAATTTTCTTTACACTGGAAAGGTCAGATAAATGTGAATTGTTGTTATCCTAGGAATGAATGGATGTTGCTTCTGAACAAAGCAAATTAAGCAATATCTTATTCTTTCTAGTAACTAACAGCCCTGGTCAGCACTCTTATAATGTAACCAGGATTGTTCAAGTGACTTAAACTTAATGTAATCAATAAATACAACTTCTAATACAAAACACACATTATAATCTTGTTTTTTATTTATCTTTTAGACAAAGTGCAAAAAACTCTAACAGTTGTGTAGAAGACAGCCAGGCAATATCTTTGATAGAATATATGAAGGAAATCAGTTCTGAAGATAAAACCTCAAAGTCTAACATTAGTTTAGCAGTTAGTAAAAAAAAGAAAAAATGCTGGAAATTTTCAGGTTGCAAGTATCAATGAAGAGATAACCAAATACTCCCAAACCTGCTGAGTATTTCCAGCATTTTATGTTTTTATTTCAGATGTCCAGCATCCACAACATTGTGTTTAGTATTTGCTTAGCCATGTTAGCTGCAAGTTATGTCTTAGATCTTTCTTTTTGTTTCTTTGTGCTTCTGACTTCCTTTTGCAGTGCTTTTCTCCACTGCCAACAATGTCCAGAAATGAATTAATAGTATCCTTTCTCAAGTCAGATAATCTTCAGATTTCATAGGGTTTCGTGGGATATACTGGAGAGATGCAATTTGATGAAAGAAGAAACAAAACACAGGATGTGTTCATAAAAGGTAATTATTTTATAATTATCACAAACACAGCCAAAGGAATAAAAGAGGTGTCAAACATGCAATAAGGCTTGTGTTCTTCTTTGTCAGCCATAAAATGGTGTTGCATTTGCTGGTTGTGTTTATGCAAATTTAGAAAATTGAACAGTTGAAGAGATCTGTGAAGAATTTTTCAGAATCTTGAATTGAATCTTACTACTATTCATTTACGCATGGGAGCAAACCAATAGGGAATTATATACGTATCTATAATCTGTTGCATTGCTATTATTTTGCATTAGGTATTGAAGACATGTTTTCCTTGTTCCTCCTTGTGAAAAAGGCCAAGTGCTATAACAGGGTTTATTTCAGACTAAAATGCTAATGGTTAAGCGTGATCTGTACATGATGTCATTGACATATTGGTGCAATGTATTTATAAAGTCCAAACCACATTAAATGAAATTACACTTTTGGGACATATGAACTACAAGGACAATGTTTTAACAATGTCAGGATTAGTTGTGTTGCATGTGTTATAATATATATATATAGCACATAAGCCTTCTGGTAAAAAAGGAGAGTAATATTTATTGTCGCTGTACACAACTGAATTTTTCTGTCAGAGTATAAACAAACTAGTGCCCACTGTTGCCGTCATTCATGCAGAGCAAATGTTCACCGGTAGATGGAGATGGGGAATCCCTATACCAAATGCAAAAGCAAAGAAATTGCTATTTCTGATATTATTATACAAATGTTTAATGTCTTTCATAACATTCCTCATCTACCGTTTTAATTGAAGTATCAACCTATTAACTTCAAATGATCTAATATTTCCATACAACAGCAGAGAAACATAACCAGATACAGTAATTTCCAGTGCAAATATAACGATTTATCACAAGAAGTGAGTTAAGAAAATCAAGGAGAGCTCATATTCATTATTTTAAACATTACAAGGAGTACAGATAAATTAAAGCAATTTTTAAGATTATGCAATTTTATTAAGTATTGTACACGAACAATGAATGGAGGAAACAAACCATGCAGGAAAATGTACATTTTGTTTAAGCAGGAAAGGAAGGGGGATATGAGAAATAGAGCGCAGCATGATATGTTTTGAACTCCAGGAAAGGCCAGAAAGACCACAATGATCATTTTAGTTCCCCGGAGTTCCCAAGTTTCCATAATGAATGTTGTGGTTGTAATGTTTGCCAGGCACATCCAATAATTTTTGGGTTGTTCACTGGTTCAGCTTTTGGAAACAAAGATCTTTGACTCCACTGTATTTCTGTAATTACAGTGATGTTGAAATAACACCTTGGTATCAGGAATGGGCTCAGCCAGAAGCACTTTGAATACCCGCTTGGGAGGAAGGAAGGTGATGTGGCACTGGGTTTCATCAAAACTTGCTGCTGTACAAATAATTTTATCCTTCACTCACATCCCCCACCAACTTTGGAAGATGGCAAAAGTAAAAAAATTAGAAGACGTAGATCTGTGATTTTCCAGATCATACATAAAACAAATTCAATGATTCGCAAACACCATAATGGTCCCCATAAAATATCCCATCATCTTTTCCAAATGTTTTCAATCAATGCAGATGACACACCATCCTGACTTTTGCCCGTTTTCCTGGACATGAGCGAGACGATCTGATGTCCTTGATCCTACATGGTGAATGGCTTTCCCTTCTCCAAGGGGTGCAATTCAGTTGCTTTTGTCATTTGATATCTCTCACAGTTGGCTGCACCATAAAAGTAAAATCCTTTTACAACTCTAGTTTTATTTTGATACATCATTAGAGTAAATGCAGTTATTACATATATACAGTTCTGAAGAAGAATCATTGGACCTGAAATGTTAACTCTGCTTTCTCTCCACAGATGTTGCCAGGCCTTGTGTTTGTCCAGCAATTTCTATTTTTAATTCTGATTTCCAGAATGCGCAGTTGTTTGGCTTTTTTTGAAAAATATCATGCTACCTTATCGGCTTAGTCACCTTTTGTTCAACTACATAATATATTCCTAAATGTGACTGTCTCTGTTTCAATCACTAAGCCTGGTAGAAGATTCCACAACCTTACAATCATTCCCTTTTTAATTGGAAACAATTTACTTCTTTCTGTTCTTTTGTATTTCCTTAAAATTTAAAATACCAGTATCAAAGCAACCAGTAATTTGTTCTGTTCTAACAAAAATAGTTAATTTCTTTCACATCTTTGTGGTATTTTCTGTTTTTTTTTTCATTTCAGGAAACTTGCTCTCTGAACTTGTGATGACCAATACTGTTCAGAGTATTTTGGTATTTTGCTTAAGATTTAGGGTGAACCACCATTTTTTCTCAGCTTTTATATTCTGTACTTGGTATAAAACTTAGTATTCAATTTTCTTTTAAATGCTCATCAACTTGAGCTGTTGTTTTTAATGTCCCATGAACTCAATCTAAACATCACTCTGTTCTTCCCCATTATTTGGGTTTTCAAAAGTTATGTTTGATTTTTTTCCATCTCATTGTTTCCATCATTGAATTCTAACTGTCATTTATTCTACTGAAAGAATTAGCAGTAGTAGTATAGGAGAGGAACATAAAAACCCATCAAGTAATCGTAATTGATTAATGATGAAAACTAGAAAGTTATTGTGCTGAAACCTGTGTTTTCTTTGGCGAATTCTGAGTTGCGTCATGCTTTTTGGAGGACCTTTTGCATGAGGCCTAGCAAGTTTTCTCACTATATCTTACCAAACTCACCTCATTAATTATCTATTCCTCCTTTATGGCATCTCTCACATCTCCGGTCCCATCTTACCACATGCCGCTCTAAGCGCAACTCACCAGTCAGTGGATATCTCGGAATTCACCAGTGTGCCATCTTTAAAAACTCGTTGTGCATCCACACAAAAAACTGTCAATCTGGAGCTGCCCTACATGGCTCCTGACATTTGTCCCAGACATAGCATTGACAAAAAAGACTGGCTTCCCACTGTGTAGGGAGGAACCTGGAGATCTTGCTCCATCAGCTTAAGTGCCACAGTTTTTTTCTCTGATACCTTACATTGACTCTATATCTGCTAATGTATGCACCTCCCATCAAGCTTATGCCCTACTACTCTCACTATTGCATGCAACATCTTCCTTTACTTGCTGTCAACTAGCCTGACCCTTGACACCTCCATTCCTGCATGCCCTTGTATTGCCTACACACTTGCACGGGACACCTTCCCACCTGCACCGAAAGTAACCACTGCGCCACCCACTTTCATTTACCTTAATAACTCACCCTCTCTCTCATTCTAGACACTAATAGGGCATAAAGATTCAAGATGGATGGTGGCTACCCAACATCAAGCTTCTCACCTCTTACATGAAGAGCATCCTGATTCTGACCGTCCTGAGTGGCTGACGGATGATGTCCTAGCCATGTGCTGCTTATTGGAGGCTGCCATTCACTTGCTGTGCTGGGACCCCTGAGTGAAGGCTGTCCCCCTTGTGTTCACTGAGGCCTCTGATAACCATGACAAGCTTCCTACCTTGGTATCTGCAGTAAACAATGAAGCCAAAACAGCAGAAAAATGAGCCTCCTATCTCTGGCTGAGGGGGCAAAGTACAAAACATCAAGGCAAGGCATGCTGTGAGCATCTAGGTGGGCTGAGAGTGAATGTATGCTATAACAGTAAGAGAAGAGCCCAGAGATGCAGCCTGGTCCAATCTGTGAGCTGGGTGCACTCCCCTGAGTGCAGGCATGTTTGCAGAAGCCAGAGAATTTTGGATGCAAATATCTGTGGACATGCTTTGTATGTGGCTGGTGCCCGTGGATTTTGCGCTGAGATGTTGGCACCCAGCGTCCAACATGGAAGTGACTTGGGCAAGGGAGCTAATTTCATCATGTACCATCTCCATTTTGAGTTTTCTCCCTGTTAGCTTGTCTGGTGAGTTTGTTCAGATAGAAAGCTGAATAATAGTAAAGGTAAACTGAACCATGAACACAAAGTGTTCAACAATAAATAATCCCCTTAAGCTGGCAACTCACCACTCCCAGGGAGAAACTCACCCTGGTGCTTGTGAAAAGCATAAAAGATGGCATTACTTTTTCCTGACAATGAGATGGGCCTTGCCAGACTTCTAATCTGAGTCTACCATGCATTGTGCCACAACCCACGTCACTTAGATCCCTTCAAGAATCAGCCCATAGTTACAGAGGAAAGGAAAGAGAATTACTACAAAGGAAACCACACTACAAATTTTTTGCAGGCTTGACATTGCTGTTCATATCCGTTCCTCCAAAATTGACACAGTATAATAGCAGACACTCTCTTGACCTCCAAACATTTGTCACTAGTTACAACTTTTATTTCTACAGAGTTTGTCATGAGCAGTAATTAAGATTAGAAAGAAAACTGTGGACCCAGATACAAATGTGTGCATCGTGATGAAAGGGTACAGAGTACCTATTAAGCAACCTCATTTTCCCTTATTGATCTTACTCTTCTTCATCCAAACCAAATCAAACCTTATCTAAAGGATGGTATCTCTGACAGTGCAGCACTCTGAAGGCACTGCATTAAAGTGTCAGTCAAGCTTATGTGCTCAAATTTCTCGAATGAGACTGGTGCCTTCTGATTCAGAGGTGAAAGTACACCTGTTGAGCCATGAATGACACTTTAATGCTCCAAACCTTCACAAGGGAAAGTAATCATGGCTACAGAAACTCAATTAACCTTTCCAAGAGATCCACTTCACAACTGAGAGCTCAAAAACTAATCAAAGTAGGAGTAACACACAATGCTACTTTGACACTCCTGCCAGCTCCATAAGGTGTCACTGATGCAGGCCTGAAGACACTGGTAGCTCAACATTACTATGAAGGCGATCTCATTTCTAGAATCTGGGATGAAGTCTCTTACCTTTGGCTACCAAAGGTGGCCATTCCACTATATTATCACTACACATGTGCAACAGATTCGCAGGAATTTTGGGTTCTTTTGATTTATACTCATATAATAGTCTAGACTTAGACAGGAGCTAGTCCAGGTGTTTAGGATTATTTAAGGCACAAGATCAGACTAGTAGGTTGCTTGAAGTGATTTCGTCGAGAGAAATTAAGAGGCATTCTCAGAAACTTAGGAAACTTGATCAGAGTGTGGATATTTGGAATTTGGATATCTGGATATCTGACTGGACAGTTAAGCAATCTCTGGAACAGAATTCTAGACAATCTGGTGAAGAATCTATGGTTCTTTAAGAAGATATCGGATGGAAATTTGAACATCAATATTATCACAACATAAAGAAGGTAAGAGCAGCTTCTTGAGGAAAATAATTCACGTATGTGTGATTCCTTGGCTGGGAGAGGGAAGATGTTGCCATAATCATCCATAAATTAAAGAGTAGAAAAAGCATTTTGTCAATGGACTCCTGAATTGGTTATTAGCTAAGTCTTTTGGCTCTCTCAAGTGGATTAAAAGCATGGGTTGATGCGTAGGGACATAATCAGATGAAGGCTTGGGAGTGAAACTGCGGATTTGTTTTCTCATTCTAGATAAAGAAACAAACAGAACCTAACTGTATGGTCAAATGACTTTACAAAACACAGCAGGAAATTAGAAACATATTGATTAGGAATGCATTGACTCATGGCCAAATTACATCATTTAAAAACATGGACGGGGCACAGTGCACACATAAATATGAAACAAGAAACACTGAATAGTTAAAATAAAAACTCATAATGGTCAAGAGAAACCAATGACTTGTAAAATTTTTTAATTATATGTTCCAATAGCCAGAATGGTAAGATTCAATCAAGGTGCACAAATGTTTGGAGATGTCGAGATTCATAGTTTACTTTGTATGCGTGCACTATAATTGGAACTTTTATTTTTATTTATAGGAGTTATGAGCATATCCCATATTCATCACAAAATTGATATTGCTACGGTTAATTTATTAAGAAAAATATCTGCATTTTCAGCAAAATTCTATTTTCAGAAACCATTTTTGGAATGCTGATATTTTCCATATTCAATAGCAAAGTATACACACTTAACCTATAATAATTATACCAAAATCATTGAATAATCTATGATTATTAGATTACTGGGAGTGAGCACACTTCCTGGCATATGTGCCACATTGTATCCATTGGAGTCCATAGTCACAACAAAGTCCAAGGGAAGTTCCCAAGCTTGGTGGGTGCCCATGCCAGTAGATGAGCAATTAGGATGCCAGCCTGCTGCAGACAGAGTAAACAGCAGCATGCTGTGCCAGAAAAATTAGGTATTGCTCCCTTAGAAATGTGGTACTTTAAAAATATAATGTGACATACATAACTCTTTGAAGGGTCAGGTGGTAAACTCACAGGTGATATCCCAAATTCACTAATCAGTACGTGGTACAGCTGACCTCAACCAGTTACTGGACATGAGATAGTAGGAACTGCCGATGCTGGAGAATCTGAGATAACAAGGTGTAGAGCTGGATGAACACAGCAGGCCAAGCAGCATCAGAGGAGCAGGAAAGCTGACATTTTGGGTCTAGATTTCTGAAGAAGGGTCTAGACCCAAAACGTCAGCTTTCCTGCTCCTCTGATGCTGCTTGGCCTGTTGTGTTCATCCAGCTCTACATGTTGTTATCTCAATTACTGGACATGTTGTGCCACGCAGCTAGAAGGCTCCATATTGGAAGAGTAAAGGTAGGATATATCTGGATTACATCCCAGTTTCTGACATTTCCAATGAACACCTGCCA